GCTCCGGACCCGCCTGAGGAGCTGTGCCCGCCCGGGGCTCTGCTGACCTTCTCCATGGCGCCCTGACCCGCTCCGCCGCTGGGAACCCTCCGCCCGCCCCAGCGCCAGCGGGAGACCGGCAGGGACCGGGCGGGACTGGGAACCGGACCGTCCCGAACTCCTCCCCAGGTCCCGTCCCGCCGCCGGGCGGGAGTGACCGGACATTGCCGCGCCGGGAAGGATCTTTGTGTGGGGGTTTGTTGCCGGCGTGGAGCGAGAGGTCTGGGCAGTAAGTCCCCGCAGTTTGGGCTGACGGAGCGGGGCCGAGCGCCGGGGAGTTTATACCTGACCGGGAAGCTGCTGGGGACCGCTCCGATGGAAATACACTGTAAGCACGACCCGTTTGCAGCAATGCATAGTAAGTAGGCGGCTAGTTCCACTTCTCTGACATTTAGCACCGATCCAGCCACCCTGCCTTGTCCGATCACGCAGCGTCCCGAGCGGTTATTAAAGGGGGGTCGGTGTAGCTGCCTCCGGGCACCACTAGCGAGGACCAGCAGCACTTGACCTGCGCTTTGCAGGGAGGATGGAAAAGAAAACAACAGCCGCCGCTGGCTCGCTCGTTCCCCCTTGAATTCGCGAGATAAACTTCTGCGGTATTTCTAGAGAATATGTGTCACCTATATCCCTATATACATGCCACTCCGACCAGCCCTTGCTAATCATTGTATTATGAAAGCCAGAGACAGAGTGCACAGAGAGAACCAGAATGCAAATTTCAAACATTGATTTACCTAGATCAGGTACTAAAACCACCGGGTGAGAACGACAGAGAGGATTGCACGTTTTATTTTGTTAGAACTTTGCCATCTCACAGTGAGATTCAAGTGCCAAAAGTAAGCCGTACAATCAAACCCCTTAAATAGTTCCACCAAACAGACCTGTTCTTTTTTGTAAGTCTCCCCCTCCCCTTTTTTTGGAAGGCTTAAAAAGTTGAGGGTTTCCTTAGTCGACTATTTCTCAATTATTTATGTACAGATAATTTTTAAAGACAAATCTTTACTAGAAAAATAGGGCTTGGAAATATTAGAAACGGCCTCTTTCAGTGTGTATCATTTACTCTCTAGAAGAATGAATTGATGTACAAATATTTCTAAATCAAATCTCTCGCTCTCGTTCTCTCAGAGAAAACATTGTGTTTGAAAGATACAGAAAAGTTTGGTCTGCAGCATTTTCCCCAAATTTAAAATATCGATTTAGCCTAAAAATACCCAGCAGTTATCAATGGTAAACTGAGTCTAAAATAATTTTCTTCTAAAAACATAGAATTCATTTTTGCAACATCAAAGTCTAAGTGAGGCAGAATGGACAACAGAGTCCAAATGTTAGAACTAGCTGTGTAAGTTAGCAGAATGTGTGTAATGTGTTTGCTTGAGGTTTGTTGTGCTTGAGAGGCTGGGAGAAGATTTATCCATTAACACAGTGTTATGTGAAATGACATCTTCTCTCATGGTGAGTTAAACGCTGGATTAGATCTTGAGATTTCAAGGAAATATAAAGTAGAACTAATCACATTTCCCTTATGCACTCCAGCCTTTTAGCCAAGACAGATTTGTTTTCAAAATAAAAGAACGTGATATATAGATAGACACTATCTATCTATCTATCTATCTATCTATCTATCTATCTATCTATCTATCTATCTATCTATCTATCTATCTATCTAATAATAATATAAATTTAGAATAGGACACACAGTAGATGACTATAGAAGGGCAAACTGTAAACTTACAGGGAAGTGTATAAGATGAACTACAAAGAAAAATGCAACATTTTTTATTAAAAGAACTAAGGTTATTTTTTAGCTAAGTCGAATGAGACATTTAAAACATTTTCAAAATAACCCGCCTTTAAAAAAAGGAAAACTGTAAATGGAAAAATTGATTTTGATTTTTTTTAAATTTACAAATCAAAATATTTGAACTGATGTGCAAATCGAGCTTTTCATTTAGGAGAACGACAGGTTGAAATATGATTAACAGTGAAACACAAGATTTCTCGTGGAGTTGTCTTGCTGCTAATTTGACGGGCAACCATATGTGGAAAAGCCACTAAGGGACTTAGCTGCTTCCTCCATTAACCTAAATAATGATAAATCAATATATTCTGCAGGAATGTAAGGGGAGAAAAAGAAACGGAGGGGCAAACCCCCAGTTTGATTATGATGCTTTTTGCTATTGTAGTCAATCTGTTTCTGGAGAGATTTAGTGCGACTGACTCCGAAAGGAAGGATTTCTGGCTGAATTTTCAGCTGTTCTGTTGTCACAAATGGTGATTCAGTGGGCGAAGCCAGCTAACGCCAGCCCCATCAGAAATACCCCCAACCTAAAACCGCATTTGGAGCCGAGAGCAGAGAGCGGAATGCCCTAACCAGAGGCATCATTTCCTAAGGAAGTCTAGCAAAGCCGTCACACAGCGGGAGAACAAATGCTGAGCCGAGAGCGGAGTGCTTACGATGCCTGCGGGTTTCTCTGGCCCAGGAATAACAATCCCACATCGTTTCTTCTTTCTCGTTGGAGGGGAAAGCTTGAAACCTACAAGCACTGAGCCCCCGAATCCAGCCTGGATGCAGTGTGTAGTAAGGAAGGACTAAGTGTAGTTGCATTGTGCTATGCTTTTACTACCAGGCAAGTCAGATTTTTACAGGTGGGGACAAACCCAATCGGTGTGGTAGCACGCCCCAGTATTTCTACTTGTTTGAGACATGGGAGCATAGGTCAAGCTGTTAATAGGTGGGATCTTAATGGCGTGTTTCTTAGTTTCAATACCTCCCCAAGCAATAGGTTGGCTGGAGCGGGGACTCACCCCGAAAGTCTGGTCAGTGGTTTGGCTGTTCGAGCTGGGGGTGATTCTTCTGCTACTTAACAACAACAATAACCAGCACGCGGTTAAGACCAAGTCCCCCACTTCCATCGCTTTCCATAGCTTGTGAACGACCCCGCCCCTAACCCCTGGGCATTTCCTCTTTCTAAAAGTTTTGGTCGTTCAACTTTTCCTGCTTTTTGCTTCCCACGGGGGCGAGGGGAAAGGCTGAGATGTGACGCGCTAAGGCGCGGGGCATTTTGGCTACTAACGTTCCCAGTTTGCACGTGGGTTGATGTACCGACTATAAAGATCTTGGCCAGATCTCACCTGCGCTAAAATGAGCCCCAAACCAAATCCTAATAATCCGACAGCTCCTTCCTTTCCTATTGGACGTTTGTCTTTGAGGGGCAATCTGATCGCTGGGCGAGGAGAGGGAGTCTAGCACGCACCTTTCAACTGGGGCAGGAAATAGACCAAATGAGAATGCGCTGAGTCAGCCGCTTCCCCTAGCACTGGGGCAGCCTTTGCAGCTGAAATCCACCCAAGCAGCAATCCGTGCAAATGAGCCAGCCAGGACCCCCTTGCAACGGGACTAGGCTGGAAAAGAAGGGCCCGCCAACTGGACAGTTACGGGATGGACTTTCCAAATAAACGCCGGACACATTGAGAAAGTCAATGAGAATTCCCTTAGAAGGGCGCCTCTCTGTCTGTTCCTTTGCCCGGGTCGCCCATCGTTTTCTAATCGTGAGAACCGAGTGGGAAAAGACTTGTAAAGGTGTTTTGTTCCCTGAGGTGGTGGCACTTAGTTTTACCTTCTGCAAAAGAGTTCCCACCCGTTTCTAGGGGCGAGGTAATATTTGCAAAGAACACCCCGGGGGGTATTTTTCGCAATGACACTTCTAGTCATTTTTTTTAAAAAACTTTCTTTAATACCCCTGTTAGCAAATGGGTTGGCTCTGCTGTGAATCAGCAACCCTTTCACTTACAGCCAATCGATGGAGCAATGCTGGATTTAATGCTTAAACAGCTGCTGTAATGTGTGTGTATTCATAGAGGCATATCTCTATACTTCTTTCCCTCACAGATATGCATATATACGCATATTACACACACATATATGAATATATTCTATACATGTATGTATTGAGTGTGTACTGTTGTGTGTCTATGTAATATACATATATATTATAACATAGAGACACAACAATACACACACAATCTATCCAGCCATGTATATAGACATATATATGTCTATATGTATTATATACTTGAATACTTCTCAATGAAGACTATACAATACATATGTACATACATATGTATATATGCATACATGTATGGATTATATTATATTATATTATATTATATTATATTATATTATATTATATTATATTATATTCGCCTAACCATACACACAATATATAAATATATAGTATATATATTATCCATAGTTCAAATTGCTTTAAAATTTCTCAGTAAAAGGCACAGTAGTATAGGGTGCTACAAACTTGCCCCAGACTCAGATGTTTTGTACTTTCATAATGCGTGGCATAGTGCAGTTCTCTCGTGTAACCCCCCGGAAAACACAGACGACCTAGTTATTTGATAACGTGTATTTTTCACAGGGAGGGACTAGTTCCTGTTGCCCTGCCAAACTCCCAGAGTTGGCCCTGCTAGACTCGCCGTGGCCTGTACCCTGTACTCTGCAGGTTGATTGGCGGCAGGAAAGAAGATCTGATTTTTTGAAAGCATTTTTCTTTGCCTTCCTTCAGTGAGAACTTCCCTCTGCTAGCCACAGAAGTGGGTGATAATGGGGACAAATACAGTGGAAGAGGAGAAGGCATCCCCACGCATGGATCGTTTTCCTTTCATTTGAACTAGCTATTCCTTTCCCATCCCATACATTTCTCCGGCCCGAAGATGAAGGGTACAAATCCGAAGGCCCCGTTAACTGCCCGTAAAAGGCTCTTGTACCCCTGCTGCAGATTATTTTAACCTAATTTAACCTCTCCTGCTCCAGCTCACGAAGGCAGGGAGCACAATTCACACAGGCTGAGCAATTTGCTCTGCAGAGTGACCCTAGCTGAACAGGCAGGGTAATCTCAGAGCCTGGGCTGGTTAATATCACGGGTCTCCATCGCCTGGAAAGCCAAGTGGGGATGGCGCCTTCAAGACTTCGCATCAGAGCTAGAGTGGTTGTATTTCTTGAGGAGAGGAGAGCAAGCAGTGAGTGAGCTGGTGGGGTCGGGGTGTTCATTTGCCTCCAGGAGACCAGCAGTATTTGAGAGCTGTGCGGAGAAGAGAGAGATTTTCAAACTGGTGGCTAATTTGCCGGATCATTAGCATAGCGCAGCTTCCCTTTGTTAGAAATCCAGCAGATTCCAACCCTGCCCAGGTTCAGAAATCTCTCCCTCAGCACAAAGCTATTGCACGTAGAGACGATCTCCCCGTGGGTTGCCAGCGTTATATATGTTTTAATAAACCCACCGACGATTACTTGATGATTTATCGCTCCATCTTTATTATTTAGCAGCTATTCTCTTGGAGGGAAAGTCCGGCTTGCTGGGGAGTGCCTCCCGGTGCAGTGCATTTTTGTTGTGACTCGAAAGCATTTGAATTCCCCCATAGCCAAACTGGGGGCTGGCTGATCCCAGCAACAATTTGGGGCTATTCACCCGCAGAGAGAGCTTTGTTATGCACGGGGTTGTTGGTTTTTTCCCAGGAATATAACTCCCTTTAGAGAATGACCTATTTGAAGTCACAGAATGGTTTCATCCAATATTTATTGACAACAAATATCAGGGCGTTACGTTTCCCCGCCTGTATTTTACTAATCACGTTTACGCTTGAAACTAACCCCGGGAAACTCATGCAGGTGCTGATTTTGGGGGACATGCGGCCGGTTTCCCGTTTGGCCTCACTACACGGCACCGAAGTTGGGAGGGAAGTTCAAGTCGATCGGGGTTTCGCTTTCGCCGAGGAGAGCTGTCAGAACACGTAGGGAGTTGAACCCCTGGCCCTGCTGAAGTGGGGGGGGAGAGCTGGTGAACCGCGGCTGCTGCTGGGCGAGCCGGCGAGCCTGGCTGGCCGCGAAGAGTGAGTGCGCTCGAACTTCGAGCAGAAAGCAGAGGGGTCCTTTGTTTAATTTGCAATCTAGAGGGTAAATTATTCTAGGGCATTAAGGAACCTTTAACGCCTGGAGAGCTCGCTGCCTACCAAACACCGAACTTGTAATATTTGGAGGGAATAATTACAAAATTAAAACGCTTCCCAAAACAAAGTCTTAGCTTTCAATATCAAGATTTTCTTTCTTTCTTTTCTTCTACTTTGAATTGCTTTTCTAGATGGAAAGCTATAGAGCTTTGCCTTTTTTTATTAAATACGATGTTAATAATTGAATATCATTGAAATTGCTAAGGAACCCGAGGCTAGTTTGTTTCAGTTAAGTGGCGTTGTACCTCTATTTTTTTTGGTATTAAAAGCAATAAGGACATTATTTTTCTGGCCTTAAAAGAATTTCAGAATCAAAACGGATAGGCTCTGTAAACCTAAAACGATGGGATGGTTCACTCTGGAAAATGCAGCACAAGGTTATCCTCAGACTTCTCTTGATGTGCTCCGAATAAAGTTATTTTTGGAGCAGAAACACTTTGAACCTGAAGCTTCCGCTAAGATCTGGTGTGCTGAAAAAAAGAGTCACTTCTGAAATTGACAAGGAACTTCAGTGACTGGCTCTGTGTAGGCTTAAACTGGCTTTAGTAATCAAATATTTTATGTGGATTCATTATGTGTTCTGACAGTTGTAGAAGGTGTTTATAAAGTTTGATAGTAGTTTATCAACGGGGAAATGACAGGACTTAAATAAAAATAGTTTACACAATTGTTTTTTTTTAAGCATTGAGGCATTTGACCTGTCAGCTTATTCTGTGTAGTCCAAGTTTCCTGTAACTAGAGATTTTTCTTATTACTTTTTTGTTCCAGTTTTGGCAACAGGGATGTCCATGCTATTATTTGTTTTCAGTTTTGCCAGCCCTCTGTGATATAAGTAGTTGGAATGATTAACACCTTGAGGATTAATTATATTTCGTCACTTGCTACATGGGATTATTACATGTTCATTGGTTTTACACAGGTTAGCTGCTACGCATCTAGCTGGGTCCCATTTCACATCAGATATATGATTCACCTGGCTAAAGGTGAACAGTGCAAATCTGCTAGAAAAAGACTAATATAGAGGTGTGGGCTAAGCATTCACATTTCATTTGGGGACCATAATGTCTGCAGAGGCCGCTGTAAATGAGAACAGCACAAGCCATTCCATATTCCCCCCCCCCTTTTGATTAAATTAAGCATTAAGCAGTCATTTGGTGGGGGGGGGGGAAGTAAACGATCATTACATTCAGTGCAACCCTTTTCTGACTGACTGAAACTAAATTTATAAGGAAAATGGTCCAAGTCTTATTTGAACACAGCCTCATATTTGTAGGGAGACTAAAAGTCACCTTTTTACCATGCAGCTACAGGGCTTACCCAGGCAGTTCTTACTCAGGCAACATCTCCCATTAGTTTCAAGGGGAGATATTGCCTGAGTACTGTTGGTCTGGGCCTAAAAATATAGTTTGAAATGCTGTTTTACGAACCAGGGGCCTGATTTTGATGTCACTTAAATCAGGAGGAACTCCATTGAAGCCAGTGGGGTTACATTGGTGTGAAATTGCTATGAGAACAGAATTAGGTTTCAACTTTTAAAATTCTTCCTGCCTTGGCAGTAAGTGATGATCAGTAATTTGAAAATGTTTGAACTCTTCTTGAGGAGTGAGGTTGATCATTGTGAAGGAGGAATCTCTGGCTAAGCAAGAATGCAGTAGAGAAGTGTCTTCCAACTATCACAAAGATGTTTTTTTTCTGCTTGTTTTTTTTCCCATGTGTTTCAGGACATGGAGGAGTGAATCAGTTAGGGGGTGTTTTTGTGAATGGTCGTCCACTCCCTGATGTTGTCCGGCAAAGGATTGTGGAACTTGCCCACCAAGGGGTCAGGCCGTGTGACATCTCCAGGCAGCTACGGGTCAGCCATGGTTGTGTCAGCAAAATTCTTGGCAGGTAACTTTGTTTCTGTAAAGGAAAATATCAAACACTGGATCAAAGATGATGAAACAAGAAACAAGTCAAACGGAGACTGATAGAAATGACCTAGGAATGGCAGGAAATGGTATAGGATCACAATTTGAGATGTCTGACCTGGGAAGTGAAAGCGATTTATTTATTTGTTTGTTTATTTACTTCACCAAAAAATTCTTGCAAATAACTAAAGAAATGAAGGGGAGGGATGGCACATGTGGTCGCCATTTCCTGCACCTGTGTGTACTGAACAAATTGACAAATCTGTGCATCATCTGCAGTAAAATGGAAAAACCAGAAGTTATGAATCTGGCAGTGAAAGCTACCCCTTTTGTTTTCTAAAGAACACTCTATTTTTAGCACATAATTTCACTACCTAAAGCCACCAAGAGCAGTTGTCAGTCAGCACACTCATTTACATGGCCTCTTTTGAAATTTGTCACAATAATTTCATTTTAAGGCTTGTTTTATTCGTGTGATAAGATATATTCCTAATTAGAACACAAAGTACCATAAGTAATCATGAACTCTCTTAATTTTGCTACTTTGAGAGTAGCCATCTGTTCTGATTGGAGATGCTCAAAGTAGTATAGCAATAGTAAATTCAAAAAATTCGATCATGTCAGATATTTGGTTTTGAACTTGATTTAGATTCAGGAAAGTCACCACTGCATTTTAACTCCTTGTGCACAAATCTGAATATCACATATCACTGTGTTTAAATGAACTGGAACGCATGTATCTTGGAAACTTTTAGCGGCCATACTTTTCTATTACCTTCTATTTTCTCTCTATAACTCAGAGAAGTTTTTAAAATGTTTATTGAGCATTAACAATTGAATTAACTTCATTGTTTGCATTCCACTGGCATTAGTCATATTCTGATCTTCACTTTCCCCCCTCCGTTTTAATTGATCTGTTTTATTGGTCGGACTGTAGTTATAAAGATTGTTAGAGCAAACATTTGTCTAGCAGTGTACATAGACTCTTCCCCCTGAAATAACTGCAGCAGCAGTCCCACGTGGACAAATGCAGTACTCAAAATGAAATGAATCTGGCAAAGCTAAGGATTCTTTCACCCTTATTCCATGAGACCCATTGTGTCTCCTGGAGAATCTTCTCTGCAGTCCTATTTAGATTGCTGCTCTAATGCCATAGGAACCAGTCATATGCACAGAAGGTCCCAGAAATCCAGTGGACCTGGTTCTTCTCTCACATGCCACGTTTTATTCCACTGTAATTCCATTGGAAATCAACAAAGTTACCCCTGATTTTACACTGGTGTAAGTGAAAGGACATGTAAGCTCTGATATCTTTACTCTTTCTGAGCGAGAGACTTTTCTTGTGTGGGACTTTCCTGCCTACCACAAGCTGCTCCATTCTGTTTGATCTTTGAATCTGTTCTGAGTGCTGGTCCTATTTGTGACAGCCTACCACTCTAGCAGATTTACAAACCATTTCTATTAGTATCAGTGCAAAGCTAATAAATAGGCAACTCATTTGCCTACCGAGGAAAAGTCCAACCACTTTACTGTTTCAGATTTGAATAGATTTGTCATTAGATATATTTGCATTATGGAGCTCCGAGAGCAGCTCTGGAGTTTTGTCATTTAAGTTGTCAACAATAAATTGGAATTTCATAGCTCATTATTTTCATAACTAATAATTACGGTGGGTAAAATGTCACTGTAATTGGAGCTGCCGTCTGTGGGGAAAAAATACGAATGCTCCACGCAAAAACCTTTGATCCCAGATTCTGGAACGGAAAGTTTTTGAATCCGCTTGTTTTTAGTCAAACGTTGGAAAAAACACGAAACGGTCAAGGAAATAAATGTGAGCCTTTGGGGCTAGGATCTGGATGGCGGCAGAAGGAGGCCGACTAGCTGATCGCTCAGGAAGCATTACAACGGGGGCGTCTGCCTTGCGCCCATTTGAGGGGAGAATTGGCAACCTGCCTGGAGCTCAAGGGCAGGATCTAATTTGCATAAAATCAAGCAGATTGCAGCTGCCCTGTCTTCAGTGTGGGGTGGTGGCCAGATTGAGAGGGAGAATTGCACTGTGGGAGCTGTAGTCTCTGTGGGCCACGCCCCAGGTTAAAGATGAGACTAACCAGGCGGGAAGAGTGGGGAATTCTATAGGGTTAGTTGGCCTCCAGGTTGCCCTTTGGTTATCCCAGCTTTACAGGGAAATTGGGATTAAGTTATTCTGGGGCTGACTCTATGAGGGCCTGATTTTATGCCCTTTAAAGTCATTGGAATCTTTCCATTGATTTTAATGGGGTTCAGATCAGGCCCTTACCTTCTATGCCAACGGCCTTCAATGAGGCAAAACTGTTACCCAGCAACAGAGGGGCCTGTCTGTCTGCAGAGTCCAAAACGCATCACCAAACGGCTTGTCAGTTGGCTATTTTCCTGTTGGCTAGATTGTCCAGAGCTGGAGGCAACAGTAAGCAAGGGGCAACAACCAGTGATCCTTCACACACGCGGGCCCGAGAGAGCGAGAGAGAGAGACTGGTTACACAGAGGAATTTTTATAAATGCTGCCATTTTTTATTTGCCCCATGAAAATTGTGAGTGGTTGGTAATGTAGCACTAAGTTTACCAGAGCCCCGTTCTGGAGCTTTCACTCAGCGGAGGGATGCCATAAGTGAAGATTACAAGGTCTGGTTTGAATGGTCATTTTTCATAGGCATGATTTTTTTAGGTGTATCATGCAAACATGTTCTTGCCATTATTTCATCATTCACCTGAGGAAAGGGTAGGGGGTGGGAGCAAGTGTTTCCTTCCTGCCCCAAGTTCATTGTTAGGCTCAACTCAGGGCAGCCCAAAGATTTAATCCATCCCAGATGCTTGTCACCTTCCATTACTAGTACTCAAATGAGGGCATGGAGACAGAAGCGGAACAGACCATTTGTTCCAAACTCACGTGAAAACAAGTGCAAACATCATCTTGTCACTCCCACTAAAGGGATTTTTTTAGGCTCTGAAAAAAGAGTGCCCGCAGGACGATTAAACCTGTAATGCAGAAGAAATTTGATGAATGCAACTGTCCTTGAGACACAGACTTTGGTCCCATAACATGTTCATGCTCTTTTGCATCGGAGAGATTTTCGGAGATTCGTTTTTCCGCAGACAACACAGATGTCAAGTAGCTGCAGAGAGAATATATCATGTGAACGTATGTTTTTATTGGGTGGGTTCTAATAAAGATCCTGCTAAAAATATGGGATGTGCCAAGATCAATGAACAAGTTTAGGCTGGTGAAGATGCTACAGCCAGGCAAGGTCTCCCTGTATGGAGAACCCATAAAGAAATGGGAGTTCTAAGCACCGAGGGCTTTTAGAATCAGGTCTGATAGGGAAGAAACTATCGGTCTCTCTGCTGTTAGTTCTGGGCTTATTTTTATCTGTTCTTAGAAAATTACGAACTATAAAAAAGTGTACGGCATCATTGACTTACACAGCCAGAACAATGTCATCACTTACAGCACAACTTTTAGGCTTAGCATTTAGGGAGATTGTTTTCTTCCTTAGATTTCCTCTTGGTGCTCGGTGGACAGAACAAGACACCCACTTTGAGCAAGACAGTAACAGCAGTTCTCAAACTGTGGGTCGGGACCCCAAAGTGGGTTGCGACGCTGTTTTAATGGGGTCACCAGGGCTGTTAGACTTGCTGGGGCCCGGGGCTGAAGCTGAAGCCCAAGGGCTTCAAGCCTGGGTGGCAAGGCTCAGATTACAGACTCCCTGGGGTTGCAGCCCTAGAGCCCTAGAGCTTCGGCTTTGACCCCGCCCGCAGCAGTGGGGCTTGGGCTTTGGCCCCCACTCCCACCCAGGGCGGCAGAGCTCATGTGGGCTCAGGCTTCGGCCCCCCCTCCTGGCGTCGTATGGTAATTTTTGTTGTCCGAAGGAGGTCGCAGTGCAATGGAGTTTGAGGACCGCCGCAGTAGAACCTCAGAGTTATGAACACGTCGGGAATGGAGGTTGTTCGTAACTCTGAAATGTTCATAACGGCGAACCCAACATTATGGTTCTTTCAAACGTTTACAACTGAACATTGCCTTAATGCAGCTGTGACATTTATTATGCAGAAGAAAAATGCCGATTTCCCTCTATTTTGTAGTAGTTTACGTTTAACACAGTACAATATTGGATTTGCTTTCTTTGTCTCTGCTTTTGCCTGACTGCGCCCTTCCGGTTCCCAACGAGGCGTGTGGTTGACTGCTCAGTTTGTAATTCTGGTGTTCGTAACTCTGAGGTTCTACTGTATTTTCCAACCTTTTGTTTCAAGAAAAAAGAAAAAAAGAGTCAGGTTCTCAGCTGGAATAAATTATTGCAGCTCCACTGAAGGAAGTGGAGTCGGGACCGTTTACACCAGCTGAGCAGCTGTCACTGTGTCTTTAATACAATTCTGTTAAAGGGCCTGATCCTACCACTCTGTCTAATTGGAATCATTTTTAATCACAGGAGTAATCTCACAGATGTCCATAGAGCAATTTGTGGGCAAGGGTTATGGTATCAGGCCCTACGAATTTAAAGAAACCAACCACTCTACTTTCTTCTGAGAATAGTGATGAGAAAATATTAGTTTCCTCCTTAAGAACCGTAGCTCCCAGGAAAAGAGAACACAACAAAATGTTACACTGGCATACTTACTTCCAATGTACTCTGCAAATCTTTGTCCTGATACTACTTTACCTGGCCTTCATGTGGGTGTGAAGTGATGACAAGGCATTTACAGTAATGAAGGCGAATTTCCCTCTAAACAGTAATTTATTACAAAAGAGTTCAGTACAAAAATAATGGTGCTGAATGTGATTTGTTTCTATTATTGCCCCTATCTCTGATTAATAACACACATTTCCAGTTAATTTAGGAACTCAGCATGTCCTTTAATCTTGCATTGTTTCTATTGTCTTGCTGTTATGGAAAAATATATGTTTTATACTGGGGCCCGTTTTCAATTACTATAAATTAATCCATTGGGGAGATAATGTACTACGTAGCCAGGAAGTGTGAGCGAAAGGGCAGATGTATCATAGAAGAGATTGGAGATGCATTGGGCAGAGTGCGCACTGTAAAACTCCAACCTTCCTGTCTGTCAACTCTTGGTAACTAAAGCTTTGTCTTGGATTCTCTCCCAGGTACTATGAGACTGGAAGCATTAAGCCTGGAGTGATTGGAGGATCCAAACCAAAGGTCGCCACACCCAAAGTCGTCGAAAAAATTGCAGAGTATAAACGCCAAAATCCCACCATGTTTGCCTGGGAGATCAGGGACAGGCTTCTAGCCGAGCGAGTGTGTGACAATGACACCGTACCCAGCGTCAGCTCGATTAACAGGTACAGATTTGGACAGCACTGGTCAGCGGCTGTCGCCGCTAGAATTTGCAGCATCTCCTCATTTGGGTCATTTGCAAGTAATCTGGTTTGTGTTTGTTTCCTGGATGACTTGGGCAGCCACGAACGCCAGTGGTTGAGCACCGAGGCGAGTGTGTGGCATATTATGAACAATTGCTATCCCCACGCAGCCTCACTGCCGCATCTCGATCCCGACCTGCAGTTCCTTTGCTGGGAAAGTCCCACGCTTATTCGAATCGAGAGTGCTCGCAGGGTTGGATTCGGTAGCATATAAACATTCCCTAGGGATAAGGTCGAGACCACCAGTGACCTGGACGACTGGTGATCTAAAAACGTTTGAATTCAGATTCAGCTGAGGGTGGGAAGAGTGAGGTCTAGTGGTTAGAGCATGTCAGCATTTCTGATTCCCTTAGGCCAGATTCATGTTCGGTGGGGTAAGGTACTACTCACCGTGAGTAAGGCTGATGGAATCTGGTCTGTAACCTTTATATGCCTCAATTATCCACCTGTAAAATGAGTGGTAAATTTACCCACCCAGAGGGGTGTTTTGTGAGTTAATTAAATTTTTAAAGAACGTTAAGGAACCTCACATGCAAGGTACTACCATGGGGCCTGATCCTACACTACAGGAGCTTTGCCATTGACTCTCATGGGCACAGGATTAGGGCCCTGGGTTAGGGCCCTATACAAAGTATAATTACTTTTTTTTTAAAGTGCTCCATCTAAATGAATCTTAACCAGAACTGTGTAGGAAACCAACACTCTCTTGCACGATGGATGAGATACTAGCTCACATCGAAGAGAAAAACGAGTGTTCACCATGACAGTGTTGAGAAACATCTTGTGAAAAGTGACAAAAGTCAGTAACAAGTGTTAATGGAAGGGATACGCATCCCCTAAACATTCTAGATGGTAAGCAACAGCCCTTCATCCCCTGCGGTATTCTTCTTAGAGGGTTCTTCATAGGGTGTAGACATAAAACCCCTTTACATTTAAATTCAAAGACTGTGTTGGGCTGTGAATCCATTTTGTGTGTGTTTGTGTGTGTGTGTGGTTTGAAAAATCAAGATAGTTTTCATGCAATTTCATCCAAATCCCCGGAATGCAGCTAACTCTAAATTTCCATGTGTGTCTAGGATCATAGATGCTATATTATTTTGTATGTCTGTTTGGGGATCCCAATCTGGATGCCCTTGTGGAATTGACCCTGTAGTATTAATAATCTCTGACATGATAACATGAAAAATAATGGGTGGCCCTTTACCTCCTAATCAAATGTTATGTGACAGATTCACGGGAATAAGTGCAAAGATTGGGTAGACAATTCCAAATGTTGAATGCTGTCTGCAGTTTCCTAACTGGAATGGGATCCTAGCAGCAGTCAGTAATACCGAGAGATTTACAGATTTGGGCAAGAAAGAGACTAGTTTGAGAAACAAAACAGAAACCGGGGGCTGAAAGAAAATCTTAATACTTGGTGTCCTCAGATAACCGAAGGGCAGCTCCACTCCCACTGAAATCCATGGGAGTCTTGCCATTGTCTTCATTGGTAGCATCATTATTATTTTTAATTATTGGACCTTTGGGGTCAGGGCTTCGTTGTGCTGGGTGCTCTACAAACACATAACCAAGAGACACTCCCTTCCCTAAAGAGATTACAACCTAACTAGGCCTCTCGCATGTTTTAATCCAGTTTTCACATTTCACTCTTTTGTTGCCTTCTCTACCACCCCAGAGTATTTCTCGTACCAAGAATATCACGGAGTGATCCCGTTTACATGTCCAAAAGTTGTTCCGTGATTTGGAAGCCACCCCATTTGGTGGAAATCTCATCCTTTCTCATCCATCTGCAGTTGTGGCTCAGAACCTCCCTTTGAAATGCGTTCAAGCTTTTTGCACTGGTTTGTTTTATTGGGCAGAATCGTTTTTGCTACCTTACAGCCCCTTCCTGCTGTTCAGGACTTGCAATTGCATGTAAGAAAAACCCTACATATGGTAATAAGTCGGGAATCTACTCCAAAGACATGGGGCCCCAATTCTGCAGTCCGTTCCTATTCAGCTGTGCACTCCCTGGGACGCAAGCCCAGGATTAAAGTTAAGCATATATGTAAACGCTCTGCTGTGCTGGGGCAGTGAGGTCTGATCCTGCACATCTTTGCTCATGTAAGGAAGTACCAATGCAGTCAGTGGACTTCTCATGTAGTTAAGGACTACTGTTGTCACTGGGTTTGCTGGGTCTGTCTCTTTAAAAGCAGTTTGTCCAGTTATGGGAGGGTCTGAGAGTCCTGTGGGAAGACTACCCAGCCCTAGGATGATCGCCTGACATTCCACTGCGTGGGACCTATAGTCCATAGCAGTCTCCGACCCCAGCTCCAGAACAGGAGCCATGGGGCTGGTGCACATACATCGGGTGATGTGAAAGTCCCCATTGAGTTTTAACTATTACATGCAGGATTTGTTTTTCTCTAGCCCTTGGCGAAGAACAATTCCCAAATTCTAAAAAGGCAAAGCACAGAATTTAATAGTGGACACGACGCAGAGCAGACGCAGGGCAGATATAATAGACACTCATGCACATTACATTCCTACATGCGTATGTTGGTTCACACGGCACATTAACATTAATACAGGGTAACATTTTCAAAAGCACCTAAGTGACTTAGGAGCATTTTCCAAAGTGACGTGGGGCTGATTTTTAAAGGTATTGTGACACCTAAAGATGCAGGCAGGTGCCTAGTGGGGTTGGAAATGGGCCCTGGGCTTATAAATCACATAGGAGCTTTGAAAATTTAACCCTCTATCCATTGACTTTGGATCCCCGTGGGAAGCTGTTCAGTACGAGCTCTTGCTCCAGGTTTGTGTCGTAAGTAGCTATAGACAATGGCTGCAAAGCCCCCGTGTGGAATAAACGGAGGAGCGTCATGCCCTAGCCCCACTCCACCTGGCCTCCCTGCTTCATGGGAGGGAGGTACGAAGGAGCCAGTCCAGTGCTGCTTGCAGTGAAGGTAGTGCTGCACCGGGGAGCTGGCTTGCATGCTGGGCAGTCTAGCCTATGCAGTTTCTTACCCCGTGCTCATCACCGTAGGACAGCTGAATGCCTTCTAGTACAACGTGCCTTCAAATAACACCTGGCGGGTGTTTGTCACATTGATTAATGCACGACTGGAAGGTGCTCAGATGCTATGGTGATGAGCCAAGGACAGGAACCTGGATAGAAGAGAATTCAGAATTTGGAATAGCCTCAATTAATACAACCAATACTTGATAATATCAATTAATATTAATCATCGGATACTTCTCAGCAGGAGCAAATTCATGCCAATAAGGTTTAATTCATCATAATTATTAGCTTCACTCACGTAAGCTGCAAGCTCACCGGCTGCTTTATTATCCTCTAGCCCTCCAGAAATAAAGGTATTTACATGTAAGAAGGCCCTGAATTCTCTTGATTCCTTCTGACAACTCAAAATCCTTGTGCAAAGTGTTATTTCCTCCCCTTCCCTCTTGTGCAGCCCCTCACTTGAGGGGCTCAGTCCTGCTCCCACACGAAGGTCAGTGGCAAAACTCTCACTGGCTTCAATAAGACAAGATTGGGCCCCTGGCCCCTCCAAAAGTCCTGGCTTGTTACTGGGGGAAAAGAATGCCAGCTTGGCCCCACCACCGGGAATGTAGTGATTAGAACTCAGCACCCGGGGCTGCTTCCCATTCTGCAGCTTTCAGGACCCGACGGGAAAGGCAGGGAGGGAGTCAGTTCCTACGTTAGGGAGCACGTCTCACCAGTTATTTCTGCTCAGTAGAGAAATATGGGGAGGCCGTGTGATTAAGTGCCTAGTGTGTGGGGCTGCGACTCGGGAGACCCAGACCCGGATTCTATTCCTGGCTCTCTCACTGGCCTGCTGGGAGATCTCGGGTGAGTCAGTTCCCCTCTCTGTGCCTCGGTTTCCCCTTCTGTAAAACAGGGATCATGATACTGACCTGCTTTGTAAAGAGCAGCAAGACCTTCTGATGAAAAACTCCCTATATTTTAGGTGTTGTTACTATTGTGGTCACTACTGAATGGTTGTAAAATAATAGAAAAAGATCTAGTGGGAACAGATAAAAAGTCTGCAGAAAACTGATTTTACATAAAAGAAGTCTGAACGATAAAGCCCTGATCTGGGAATAATTTTTAAGCTTCTTCCTTTTGCTCTACGCACAAACGCAGACCCCCACTATAACTTTACACAGTCGGTTCGTGAATGAAGTTTTGCCATTCTTGGGTGAACATATCAATGTGCAAAAAACTGGTGTATAGCAAGGCATAAACTGGGAATGGTGCTTGTTAAATAGCCCCGGGAGAAATCATCACCACAGCGTGCTGTCAAAATAGTACATAAAACATACACATCTACCATGAGAAGCACGTCAATGAACTATGTATTAGCTGAGTCAAGACCACGCTACAGTTAGTATTTGGGCCTGATTTTTCTTCCACCGAAGTCCATGGCAAAACGTCCATTTATGTCATGGGGAGACGGCTCACACCCTGTGTCTTTCCCGTTAATACATTAACACTGTCGTTTTTGCCAATGCATTCCTGTTGCCTTTCTTGCTAACTGCTCCCTTTCCAAAAAGCCACCACGCACCCTTTCTTTTATTTCTCTGTATCTTTCTACACCACATGCACAACTGCAACAGATGCTGCTCTCAGAGAACACTGGTGTACATTGGGAGTGACCCCTTTGACATTCATAGAGTTACTCCAGATTGACACCTGTGTAAATGAGAGCAGAAGATGGTCTGAGGGTCCAGTTATGACAAGGTAATTGTTGAGTTTGGATGTCTTGCATTTGGTCCAAGATTTGTTGCTTTCAGTGTTCCATTTGATTTGGGGTAAAAACTTCAGAAACGCCTCAGAGACTTAGGAGCATAAGTCCCATTTTCAAAAGTGACGTAGGGCCAGATTTTTAAAGGTATTTAGGCACCCAAAGATAGGTGATAGGTGCCTACTGGGCTTTTCAAATATGTTGGTGCCTATCTCTTACTGAAATCAATGGGAGTTGGGCGCCTGGCCCTTTTGAAAATCCAGCTAGGCATCTACCTGTATTTTCAGGCACCTGAAAACCTTAGGTGCTTAGGAGCCTAAATCTCAATGGCACATGGGCTCCTAACTCACCTAGGCCCAGATCTTCAGCTGTATTTACATGCTTTACTCCCATTGATTTCAAAGACGTTCCTAAATGCCTTTGAGGATCTGTGTCTTCGGCACTTCTGAAAATTTGGCCCTAGATCTGCCCACCAGTTGCACTTTGCTTCAATGGACTAATACAGGAAAAGATGTTTCCTTTACCATCTAAGTGTCCGGAATGGACAAAATACCTTCTGATGTTCTCCAAGCACTGCTATTATTTGCCTGCAGTTTCTACAGTGTGCATGTCTCATAGTAAGGAGCCATTTGTTTCTTTTCAACTACATGCAGGATCATACGGACTAAGGTACAGCAACCACCCAACCAGCAGGTCCCAGCCTCTAGTCACAGCATAGGTAAGTCAAACTTTTTTTATATTAACAAAATAATATAATGGAATACAAATATTCTAAAGAACTTTTAATCATTCTTATGGACAGATAATTCTGCATAAAACACTTCAGCACACGTACTAATGCACCTTCTTTGTCATTCGGCAACGGTTGAACATGGTAAATGAATTTTATAAATACTGCTAAAAGGTTTTGAATTTTACTGATTATTATGATAAATAGCTTTCACCGTGAGACAGAAAATTGAAATCTAAACCAACCCCCCCCCCCACTAATAGGGGTCTATAGAATGTCAGATAATTAAAGTAATAAATCAAGAAAGGGATACTTATTCATAACATTTTCTGCATCATTAGTCAGTAAGTAGTTGTGAATGTGTTTTTTTCTTCTATCAACCATCTCTTCTATAATTCTTTGTGCACTTGCAGTCTTGAGTGAAGAGGTACCAAAACTTTCCAAACTTTCTTCTCCTGTTCTTCCCTTCTCCTTCCTAATGCAGACGTTCAGGCCAGAGCAGCGTGCTCTAGCCAGGTTCCGATGCCGCGTCTGTCAGGAGACAGCAACCCTGATTAACACATTTTTGTGGCTAATGGAGTTGGTGGCCTCAGCCCAACTTTCTTGTTTGTGGAGATTTTTGATCTCTCTAAACATTGTCTTAGGCAACTGCATGTATAGCCCATATTCTTCCTTTGTAGGCATGTTCACTCAGCTCATTCCTCATTTGAAATTTCCATTTCCAACAGCATTCATGCCTCCTTACGTGCAGAATGCAATGAAGGCAGTGAGCGGTGGACATTATTTACTTCAGCTGATCCAAGATTTGTCCTTTATAGCTAGTCCCTAGGAGGTTAAACTTGGGTTTGCTTTCTTAGTAGCAAGGCGTTCCATGGAGGGTTGCTAAAGGAAAGGGAAGGGAAAATGGCCTTGGGTACAAGACTTAGGCAATCTGGGTTCTATTACCACCCATGCTACAAAATGGGACCTCCATTAAGCCACCTTGCTTGTGGGTCTGGTAGCTCATTCTGCAAGTAGTCCTGGCGGGATAAAGTACTGCTCAATGTGGGGAAAGGCAGCAGAATCTCTGCCTTAGTGTCCTCCTCTGTAAAATGGGGATAATGCTCACTTCCCAGGAGTGCTGTGAAGTTAACTATCTGGGAGGTGCTTTTTGCGAGACTCAGCTGGAAAGCGCCCGGGCGTACATTTGGAATCGTTTTATCAAGAAAGTGACTCTAAGAGCCTCCGATGAAGAAAAGCAGCAGCTAGCGTGACTGATAGTTTAAGGCTCGATTGTGTTACCAGTGATCTCAATAGCAAAACTCCCGGTGGCTTCAGAGGAGCCTTCGTTTATACAGGGGCAAATCCTGACTCTGCTTTGCTCTGCACAGACGGAAGCTGAGTGGTTCATCCGGATGCTGTGGCCGCCCAGCACAAGCGGAGTGCTGCCTCTCCCTGCTGGCACTGTGGGATTAGCAGCTATGGGATGGCAGCGTGACAGCCCATCCCCTCCTGCATCCAGAGAGGGGATGCCACCCCACTGCCCTGGCCCCAGGGAGGGATGGAGAGCCAGCTGTGGAGAACCTCAAAGAGGCTGTCTGGCAGCTCCAAATTTACATTGACTATCACTAATGCCACTCCCTGTAGGACAGGTCAGTACCCTACCTGCCCTACCGGGGACGCTCTGCCAAAGGGAAGCAGCTTTAATTCATGTCCTGGACAGCTCCTGGGGGCTTTAGCTCCATCCTCTCCCCAGCTGGGCCTGCCCACATTGTGTGCTGTGCTCTAGGCCCCCGGGCAGACCCATGCTTGCGGGCAGGTAGATTGTTACCTCCTGGCTCTAGCACTGGGGACCTGCAGCCTAGGTTCTGCCTGTTTGTGCTGACAGAATCCAGGCAGCGAATCATGCACATTGACTCATTCTTACCACACGCCAGGGTGGTGGATGAGGATGGATGGGGAAACCACAGGAAGGAGGGTAAGTGCTGTGCCCACGGTTACAGAGGGAGTCAGTGTCGGGATTCGAACTCTTGGTTTGGGCACTATTTCCATCTGCGTCCTTGGTCAAATCACTTAACCATCTTGCCTCAGTTTCCCTACTGGGGATGTTATTATTTAATTACTTGCTTCCTAGGACTTGTGTTGAAGGTTAATCAGTTTGTGCTCGCAAAGCATGTTGAAGATGTAAAGTGCAATCTGTAAGTGCTAAGCATTATTATAATTATGGTTATCCTATCCATCCAAAGCCATTCCACCTCTTTAAAGCTGTTAACTGATAACCAGACATTTAGACAATGTCTTCTGGTCTTGGTCATCCTTCTTCGAAAGGTTCCCGTAGCAGGGCGCTCGCCTTATGCTTTCCTCCTATTTAGTATTCTGTGTAATGCTGGCGAATGACGACTCTTCCCCTGTTGCAGCCACCGCAGTCAGGATGAAGGGTTTAATACAAAAGGCTCAGTGAAGCACTACCACAGTTAGGTTACCCGCCCTGTGGTTCCCCCACTAATAATACATCAGCAGTCTTGGATTGTGGCTTCAGGTTAACTCCATATCATACTAGAGTCTTAATTAGTGGCTTAATATGTAACGTTACATCTATTGTATAGAGAACGAGCCAATTTAAAAAAGATAAACAGTAGATAGAGCACAACATGCGCTTTGACATTTGTGAGGTGCATATATAAGGCGTTTTATGGGTGTGGCAGTGAGACAGCTTTTAAATGGCCCTCAATGGTCCCTAAGACAAGCACAGTGTAGTTGTTATTATTATTAATTGGAGCCTCGGAACCCTAGTCAGGGACTGTTGCGCTAGGCGCTGTACAAATGCAGAGAGAAGAATGGTCCCTGCCCCAAAGAAGTTACACTGGAAGAATAAGACGAGAACAGACGGAGACAGACAGACCAGGGTGTGTAAGGAACCAATGACACAATACTGCATCAGCAGGAGAGGCGGTGAGCTCAGCTCTCCTGGGACACCACTGCCAAATCTGACTATTTTATCACGACTCTCACAATATTTGGTCTTTTTCATAACGTCTGAGTTGCTGGAATCAGATTATGGCCTGAGAATCGCAGCTTTTCATTAACAAAAGGAGAAAGCTTCTAGGTCACGTGGTGGGAGAGAAAAGGCTGAGACCTGACCCCTCAACACTCCGACAGCCAGGGGCAAATAAAAAGGACCCCACATTTTTTTGATTATATTGTAAATCTAATGATTTTGGGGGCCTGGCTCCTGATTTCTGAACACTTGGGTTGGGCAGCATGGCCAACCGTGACTGCTGTCAGCCAGTGATTTTAATGAACAGGGGATGCCAGGAACCAGAACCACTGTGGTACTGATAGAAGGGAAGCAACCTGAGTGGAGCACTGCCCTGAGTGTTACTTTAGGGTCCAAAGCTGCTTCCTTGCTGGAGCGGGGCTCACTTAGTGGCCACGGCTCAATAGTCTTCAAAGTCCTGGGGGCCTTGTTGGCAATCTGAGGGCCTAGTGGCCAAATTATAGTCTGTCCTTCTCCGGTTGGGCTAGGAGCAGAGGGAAGGATTGGGAGACCCAGGCCCTATCTCTCCACTGGGTCCAGACCAAGGGGGGAGGTTGTTTCCATCCCCTGTTTCCATCCTGAGCTGATACCTCAGACCAGCCTCCCCTGGGCCACTTCCTACCTCCCAGGGCACTGTTCATTTTGGGGCGTTGTCCATAGCAACACAAGATTCTATTACCACGACAACCAAATACACAACAGACGTAATCACAGCCCTCTGCCTCCCTCCTCGAGGAGGCTGTTCAAGGAGTTGCCGTGATTCAGAGAGTCACTTGGGGCTGCCCAGCTCCCTTCCAGTGTCCAATGATTCCCCCTTGGAGAGAAAGGGTCAGGCCCCTGGCTGCTCCATCAGGCCTTGTCCCCAGTCCAGGCCCTTCCCTTGTGGATTCCTCTGTCCCAGAAGGTTCTATCTGGCTCCCTTCCCGCAGACAGCTTCTCCTTCCCTCTCCCCCGCTTTATTGCCAGACTCCCATTTTAAGCAGGTCCTCCATTTGGAGCATGCTCCATGGCTGATGTGGGGCGGGGCCTTCTCGGCCCAGCACGGTTCCATCACCGCTTTAGTCTGAGTGGAGGGTCTGTAAACCCCATGTGCACACACACAGCCCCTATTGCAGGCAATTGAGTGTTTGCCACAAGCTATGCTCCATCAGCCCCTTTTCAAAACTCACGTGTCAGAGGAAACACAACAAAACAGGCAGGACCATTCAGCTTCATAGCTGGGGCACTGCAGAGTCACATGAAACTGTTGTGGCTGAGGGTGTGGACAGTGGTCCCAAGATGACTGGGATGGCAGGAGTTGTGGGCACGCTTTGGCTTTCATGTTTGTCTGCATGCTGACTGCTTTGCTTTTAATTACAGCCTCCACGGGGTCCGTGACCCAAGTCTCGACAGTGAGCACTGACTCCGCCGGCTCCTCCTACTCCATTAGTGGAATTCTGGGAATTACATCCCCCAGTGCTGAAAGCAACAAACGCAAACGCGATGAAGGTAAACGGGCCTATTTGCTCTTTGGTGGGTACCACGTACTGAAAAAGGGGCGGGCGGCGTTAGAAAGATGCTCTATCTGCTATTGTCTTCAATGTTCCCTTTCTTACAACTCACCATATCTAGTTGTGTCTGACATGGGTCCATGTAACCTGCTTTTGTGACTTAATCTGTTCATGCGGGAACTGTTTCTACCGGAGAGCTATTGTGTGGCCAGCTGGGCTGAGATAGGTACTGAGATGACCGTGATGCTAAGGAGACATTGCCTCTGTGTGCAAGGTTTTCACGCTGGTGTGACTCCATCAATGGCAATGGAGTTTCTTCCGATTTCTACAGGTCTACGTGAGATCACAATCAGGCCCAGATAGTCTGCCCCTATTCCACTTGAAGTCAATGGCAGCTAGAATGGAAGCAGGATTGGTCCCATGGTCAGGTGCCAGTATTCATATATTATAAAGCACATGGGATGCATTGCATTTTTCAATGACTTACGAAGAAAACTGAACTAAACTAAGAAAGCTTCCCACCCATCAGTGCAAATGGCAAGATACATTATTACGATGGCACAACTCTGCGCCTTGTTCAAAAATAAAATACAAACGAGGTGGATTAGATCTGGATGGTTTATAGGAACAGTTTCCTTTCTCCAGCACTTCCTCAGCTCCCATTGACATCAGTGGGATTTTTGACAGCGAAGGCTGCACTAAAGGTGGCTTGATTTTGCTTTGTACGGAGCATTTCCTGTAGTTTTTGCATTCGTCTTAAGGTTCATAATTAAATGTCACTATGCAGCCTGGATGTTGCTTTGATGAACATGCTGCATTATCTTTAAAAATAAGGATAATTTAGGACAAATGACGGGATATTCTGAATTTGAATTTTTTAAAGATGCCTTAAATTATAACTGGCTCTTTCCTTAGAATCATAGGGTACGTCTACACTACCCACTGGATCGGCGGGTAGTGATCGATCTATAGGGGATCAATTTATCGCGTCTAGTGTAGACGCGATAAAATCAATCCCCGATCGCTCTGCCGTCAACTCCGGAACTCCACCGCGGCGAGAGGCGTAGCTGAAGTTGCGTATCTTAGATCGACCCCCCTGCTAGTGTAGACCTAGTCACTGAATCACAGAATATCAGGGTTGGAAGGGACCTCAGGAGGTCATCTAGTCCAACCCCCTGCTCAAAGCAGGGCCAATCCCCAACTAAATCATCCTTGAAGGCATGTAAAGGATGTTTCTTATTATCTAACCACAGGAGTTCCAGAGGCTAGGAAATATCATTGGCCAGCCACACCCACCTGCCAGCCACACCCACCTACTATAATCAAAGGAGTGGGACAATTTTAACCCCGGGGCAAGTTTAGGGCCTGATCCTGTAGACATTGTTGTATGGGAGTGTCTTCACTGAGGCTTCTCACATGTGTAAATTACTCGCTCGTGGCAATGGTTGGAGGATTGAGGCCTTAGTTTGTTCTCTTTCTGCCCATTTGTTGCCGCCCCTGCTGCTTAAACTACTACAGTTGTTGCTTTTGTGCAACGGTGGTCACAAAGCGCAGACACTGCTGCTCTTGACGAGGAGTCTGTTCTGCCAGCCATGTGCCTGCCCTGTTCATGGGATTTACACACACACTCCTCAAGGGGAGAAATGACCCCGGAGTCTTTGTAAACTCTGGGGCAGGAAGGGAAAAAGCAATGTTTTCTCGGTGGCCTCGAGCCTCACCATCAGCCTGACAGGACATTTGAGTCAGTTATTCTCCTGTTCAATTCATCCCACTCTTTGTATGTACACACAGAAAACAAGCCCGGAGTGCCAGTCCAAGTCCAAACAACGAGTGTGTGTGGCCGTCCCCAGGGCTGCACAAAGCGGTCAGGTGCAGAGGGCCGTTTTAATCCTGGGACCATGGAAGTCAATTGCAAAACTCCCATTGACCGCTGTGGGGCCTAGATTTCCCTCAGACTGTGGCTGGCTGCACGGGTGCAAAGACTCGGTTTGTACATGCAGTCGCAGTAGGTGTGCACATTAATTAGGTGTGCAGTTGCACACTTGACTTTTTGAAAATCAGGCCATACCTATACAAATAAATGTTGGCATTCTAGTAGGAGCAGTAGCAAACTCTGTAGTTAATTAAAGATGCATAACCATCTACCGTGGTGACAAGAGCAGTATGGGAACCGGGACAGAAAATAGACTCTCCATCCTACAGCCCTGTTTCCAGTCACTTGTAACTTTCCAAACCGTTCTCCTTTGGGGCCGACATTTTACAGGGTTGATCTGTGCTGAAAGGTGAGCTAACCTTTTCTGCAATGCGTTAAGAGAAAAGCGGCATAGTCCCTAGGGTTTGGCAGAGAGGCAATCTCAACGTTGCAAACTCTCACAGAGGTATCACAATAGTTCCCTAAATGTCTCCTAAAGCCCCAGCTCCCGGAGCCCCAGGAGAATCTCAGATTTCATTTATAAGAAGTAAACCCTCATAGCTGCAGAGAAAAGATTGAGACTGTGAAAGGCTCAAACCCAGAATGCTACCCATCCCCAGTACGTCAATCTGCAATAGCAATACTGCTATCTTCACTGCCCACTGATGCTGCGCAGATAACGGGCTCCCTCCTGCAGACTCGTTAAGTGGGGTAGACAGGGTGCTCTGGTAAGTGTCTAGCTAAATGGGTCCACAGTATGGAATTTCTTTTTTCTGTCTTGATCCCCCCTTCCTCCCAGTAAATTCCATTAACACCCTTCTCCCCCCACTAAGCGCTTGTCACCTGTGCACAGTTAAGCCCTCAAAATGCACTCCGAGTAGTCCAAAGAAGCCCCACTTTTGTATTGGAGACTCTAGGGAAATGGAATCATATTATAGTGTATTCTTTCAGGAAGAGGAAAATGTGATGGTTTAATGATGGACTGTATCGTAATATATATGCACAAGGGGGCAGAGTTAACTTTGCCATTTACTGACTTTTGTGAGCTCAACGCTACATGGTTAACGTTCTCGTGACTTAGTTAATTGACATATATCTCTCTCCATATTGAGGGAGGGGTCTGTCTGTATATAGATCTCTGACAAGTAGAGCCACTGACTAGGTAACCATTGTAAATTGATCTAGGCTTCTGTCTGAGTGGGACAGTGAAATGGAATGGGTTCGCTCTTCAACTCTGCAAGCTGTATCCAGCACTCAGTAGGATTCATTGCTTTTTTTGTTCCTCTCGGTCTGGACATTTTTTTTAGCAGCTGTCACCAGTCTTTAACCCAGTGGGTTGCTAGCCTAATAGCAACAGGGGCAAACCAAATCAGACAATCTTTATTGGCTTATTCAGCTGAAGGTGCCATTCCCCCTCCCGCATTGTAAAGTAGACTTGGAGCAGATGTGCCTTAGTGGGGGATCGGTTGCTTTCACTTATAGTTAAAGAACATACTACTGGGGACTGACACAAGGAGCAGACTACACAGTAGCTAGACACTGGCTTACTAAAGAGAGATGCGATCGGCTTTCTAAGTTTAAAAAGGCAGACGCCGTTGGGCACGGTTGCTGTTTTGTTTTCAGATTCCCTTCTCTACCTTCGGTTGCTTCATTCGGATTTTCCCTGCGTGTAGTGGGAAGCCCGAGCGATGCATATTGAGCAGATGGGTGGGAGGATGGAGAATGATCTTATTTTATCATCTTCTAATGAATTCCATTCAGCTGAAAGAAGGCCATAGAGGGGAGCAGGCAGTGAGCGTGGGACCCACAAGTAGGTTAGGTTACATTTTAAAGACATTTTAAAGACAGGTTTTTACAAATATCCCTATTCAAAGAAATTGTTTTATTCCATTAAAAGTCGCCTACATTTTCAGAAATGACTAGGGGTTTGCGGTGGCTCAGTTCCTGAGTGCCCAGCCTGAGCCATCGTAAAGGGTCCTGGAATTCAGAATGTGCCGAGCGGCTGCCCTCTGAAAAGCACCATCTCAAATGGGACACCCAAAAATGGAGGCTCCCAAGATCACTACTCGGTTTTTAAATGAAGAGACTCTTCTGTTTGGATTTAAACTTTCCCCGGTGATGTTTGCCACCCGGGATGAACATAGATCAGATGAGGAGGGGGAGTTCTCCAGTTCTGACTGCTGTCCTCATGTTCAGTTTTTCTTTTGGTGGTGCAGTATTACGTTGTCTTGTGATGACAGGACAAAGCTACAGGAGAGAATAGGGGAAAAAGACAAAATGTATGTGAAAGGAGGTTGTGTCCCCAAGCAGACTTACATCCAGCCAAGGAAATGAATGTGTGTAGTGTGTATGCAATGTGTGTGTGTGTGTGTACAGTTGTCCTCTGCGTGTGTTTGTGCAGGGCACAGACATACTGTATGCATTACGTGTGTTTGTGCAATGGCTGTGCATTTGTGCAGGGTGCATGTGTACTGTTTGCAGTGTGTTTGTGCAGCATGCCTGCACACGGTGTTTAGTGTGTGTGTTTGCACAGTGCATGCAGTGTTTGTGGAATGTACGTGTAGGGTGCCTGTAAATGGTGTTCAGCATGTGTGTTTGTGCAGTGCGCGTGCGTGCATGTGTATGCGTGCAGTGTGGGTGTGTGGTGTGTAACGTGTGTTTGTGCGGTGATTGTGTGTGTGCATAGCTCAGCAGGGTCACGTCCCTGGAGGGCCCCACAAGCCCATTGCTATAAGTGATGAGATTTTGTAACAAAACTCCAAATGGGTGCTGGCGCTCTGCCTCGGCAGTCACTGAACTCACCCGGCAGTTACTGCATGCGAGAAGAGGTTTAAATACGTGTTTTTAACAGAGAGATTTGATGCAACCTCTCTGTCTCTCCTCCAGGATTTCTCTGTCCGTCTCCCCTGGCCAGCAGGAGGGGCACAGCTCCCTACAGAGGCGGGCAAAGAGACAGCTCCCAGCTGGGATGCCTCTTCGTCTCCCATCAGGTGGTGCTGTTGCTACCCCTCCTGGCAGTGTGGCTGGGAGTCCCAGCCAGGCACCAGCTCCTGTTACTGCTCCCACTGCAGAATGTGCTGTTTGAT